GATACAGATTGCTCAAGCTGCAAACAAAAATCCAAAGTTCCAGGGAACAATATTACCCCTTCTTCTCTCTCCCCCACCTTGGCACACCTGTTTAGGCTTTGGGTTGTTGCTCTGGGACAGACTGGTGTGGCTGTTCTGTGGATGATGAGAAGGGTGAATTGCTTCTCCTGTCCTTGTGAGGAGACTGTTGGCACCTGGTAGTTACTCACTCCGGAGAAGTTGGAAACAGCACAAGCCTTGCTGGTTTCTCCTATCCTGGAGAATACAAAAGTGGAGCCAGGCTCTTGCCCAGTTGCCTGCATTCAGGAACACTTCCTTTACAAAAACTGTCTGCAACTCCTGCAACACTTCCCTGAATGACAGCACCGTGCCAACCTTTTCTCCTTCCTTTCAGCGTAACTTGGTCCACATCTCTTAACAGCTGCCACCTGGAACACGGTGAAATCAGATCCTTTTGCCAACTGGGCATTTAAAGAGGAAAAAATTACAAGCAAGAAATGACTAGATGGGAACCATCCCATTGTCCGTTCCCCAGGTGCAAAGAACTATAGCAGTCTAGGCGGCAGAGGCCTGGACCATTAGATGCTAGAGGAACAGGCTCTAAGATGCAAGATTTTTAGATCTTTTTATTCTGTCTGTACAGCACCTAGCACAATGGGGTCATGGTCCATGATTGTGGTCCTAGGCTCTATATGATAAATGATAGATCTACAGTATGGTTTCAAGCACACTTGTATGCCCACTGAGCATGGGAGTTTCATAGAATCATAGAACACTAGAACGGAAAGGGACCTCAAGAGGTCATCAAGTCCAGTCCCCTGCCCTTGCGGCAGGACCCAGTACCATCTAGAATATCCCTGATAGATGTTTGTCTAACCTGTTCTTAAAAATCTCCAATGATGGAGATTCCACAACCTCCCTAGGCAATTTATTCCAGTATTTATCCACCCTGACAGGAACTTTTTCCTAATGTCCAACCTAAACCTCCCTTGCTGCAATTTAAGCCCATTGCTTCTTGTCCTATCATCAGAGGCCAAGGAGAACAATTTTTCTCCCTCCTCTTTGTAATAGGTACTTGAAAGTTACATCCCCTTTCAAATAGACCAATTGAGGCCTAATCAGCGCTGAGTAGAGCAGAAGAATTACTTCTCATATCTTGCTCAGAAAATTTCTGTTAATGCATCCCAAAATCATGTTTGCTTTTTTTGCAGCAGTTTCATGCTGTTGACTCATATATAATTGATGCCTAGGTCTTGAATAAAATACATCTTTGATATTTATAACATAATAATGTGATATCTATTTGTCATCTTTATAATGGAATGTGGCATTAGTTTACAGATTAAAAGTGACCAACCTGTATGAAATTTTGCATATCTGAATGATTTCTGTAGTAATTGTAAAATTTTTCTTGTGTGTTTATTAGGTGGCTTCGTTTGCTTAATGACTTCTTTGTTTCGGTCTTTACCGAGAAGTCTGAAGGAATGCCTAACATAGTGAATGCTAGTGGGAAGGGGGTAGGTTTAGAAAGTAAAATTAAAAAAGAACAAGTTAAAAATCACCTAGAAAAGTTAGATGCCTGAAGTCACCAGGGCCTGATGAAATGCATCCTAGAATACTCAAGGAGCTGATAGAGGAGGTATCTGAGCCTCTAGCTATCATCTTTGGAAAATCATGGGAGACAAGAGAGATTCCAGAAGACTGGAAAAGGGCAAATATAGTGCCCATTTATAAAAAGGGAAATAAGAACAACCCAGGAAACGACAGACCAATTAGTTTAACTTCTGTGCCAGGGAAGATAATGGAGCAAGTAATTAAGGAAATCATCTGTAAACACTTGGAAGGTGGCAAGGTGATAGGGAACAGTCAGCATGGATTTGTAAAGAACAAATCATGTCAAACCAATCTGATAGCTTTCTTTGATAGGATAACGAGTCTTGTGGATAAGGGAGAAGCGGTGGATGTGGTAAACCTAGACTTTAGTAAGGCGTTTGATATGGACTCGCATGATATTCTTATAAATAAACTAGGCAAATACAACTTAGAAGGGGCTACTGTAAGGTGGGTGCATAACTGACTGGATAACCGTACTCAGAGAGTAGTTATTTATGGTTCACAATCCTGCTGGAAAGGCATAACAAGTGGGGTTCCGCAGGGGTCTGTTTTGGTACCGGTTCTGTTCAATATCTTCATCAACGATTTAGATATTGGTATAGAAAGTACGCTTATTGGCTGTGTCTACATTGGCACCCTTTTCTGGAAAAGGGATGCTAATGAGACCAGTCGGAATTGCAAATGCCGTGGGGGATTTAAATATCCCCCGCGGCATTTGCATGAACATGGCTGCCGCTTTTTTCCGGCTCGGGGCTTTGCCGGAGAAAAGCACCAGTCTAGATGGGATCTTTCGGACCGAGCCGGAAAAAAGCGGCAGCCATGTTCATGCAAATGCCGCGGGGGATATTTAAATCCCCCACGGCATTTGCAATTCCGACTGATCTCATTAGCATCCCTTTTCCGGAAAAGGGTGCCAATGTAGACACAGCCATTAAGTTTGCAGATGATACCAAGCTGGGAGGGGTTGCGACTGCTCTGGAGGATAGGGTCATAATTCAAAATGATCTGGACAAATTGGAGAAATAGTCTGAGATAAACAGGATGAAGTTTAATAAAGACAAATGCAAAGTGCTCCACTTAGGAAGGAACAATCAGTTTCACACATACAGAATGGGAAGCAACTGTCTAGGAAGGAGTACGGCAGAAAGGGATCTAGGGGTTATAGTGGACCACAAGCTGAATATGAGTCAGCAGTGTGAAGCTGTTGCAAAGAAAGCAAACATGATTCTGGGATGCATTAATAGGTGTGTTATGAGCCAGACGCGAGAAGTAATTCTTCCGCTCTACTCTGTGCTGGTTAGGCCTCAGTTGGAGTATTGTGTCCAGTTCTGGGCACCGCGTTTCAAGAAGGATGCGGAAAAATTGGAGCGGGTCCAGAGAAGAGCAACAAGAATGATTAAAGGTCTAGCGAACATGACCTGTGAGGGAAGGCTGAAGGAATTGGTTTTGTTTAGTTTAGAAAAGTGAAGATTAAGGGGGGACATGATAGCAGTTTTCAGATATCTAAAAGGGTGTAATAAGGAGGAGGGAGAAAACTTGTTCATCTTGGCCTCTGAGGATAGAACAAGAAGCAATGGGCTTAAACTGCAGCAAGGGAGGTTTAGGTTGGACATTAGGAAAAAGTTCCTAACTGTCAGGGTAGTCAAACACTGGAATAAATTGCCTAGGGAGGTTGTGGAATCTCCATCTCTGGAGATATTTAAGAGTAGGTTAGATAAATGTCTATCAGGGATGGTCTACTCTAGACAGTATTAGGTCCTGCCATGAGGGCAGGGGGCTGGACTCGATGACCTCTCAAGGTCCCTTCCAGTTCTAGTAATAGGATTCTATGATTTGCAGCATTACTAGTTTCTGGAACCCTTCACCTCAAGCAGTACTAAGTTGAAATGCTGCTGTCTCCTGAAAATGTGTATGAAACTTTCCTTTTTTAAGGCATGATTCTGTTGGCCCAGCACATCTCTTTGTGCCAGCCCAGAGAGTGGGTGTATGTTTTTTTATCCGCAGGTGGGAAAAGGACAAGGCTAAACTCTTTTGTGACTTTACGTCACCTATGAAGGTTGCTGGGGATGGAACAGGTGATAATGGAGAGACCAGTGTCCCTGAAGACAAAGATCACTTCTGAGGGGTAGTTGGGTGGATTTTTGAACATTTTTTGACTGCACAGCATTCTAATGATGTTGTCTCTCTGCTAAGAGGGGAACTTTTGTGTCAGCTTCCTCACCTCTCAATTCCTGGCTGTGGCTAAAGAGTAGGAAGTTTTCATGGATAGTCCAGCTCTTTGGACACTTTTATTCAGTTTTTGAGCTTCTAATTAATGGGTAGGCCCAATGCACACATTCCCAAACTGGATCCCAGCATTGTGTTGGGGACACATATTCATAAAAAACAGGATCGTCAGAGTTCATCTGCTTCATTGTCTGAAGTGATGGCCCCTCGCTGGCTGTGACCTCAGAATTGATGGCCGGAGAAATGATTGATTTCACAAGCTGAAGGCTATGACTTGAAGTAGTGGGAGGGGAAAGCGGTAGAGCAGATGCCTGAAGGAGGCGGGGGGAGGGAGGAATGGATGGCCTTGGCAGTAAAGGTGGAAGGTGCAAACTTGCGGATGTAAAGTCCTTGTTGCACAAGCAAAATTTCGAGTCTGCAACGGAAGTGTTGCTGGATTACATGCAGAGAGGCTGAAAGTTTTGCAACTGAAATGTTCGTATCAATTGATTACTTGGTTTTGTTTGTTTGTTTTTTCAATACAGCAGTTCCTGGTTCCCAGGATGTAGAAGGAGGGAGGTTGTTTTATTTGCATTATCCCCATATAGACTAGTAAATTCATACCCACTCTGGACACCCATCTCTTTGTTGCCTCTTGTATGGTCACTAGCCCTCTGGCCTTCCATTTCAGTTCCTCATAGCCAGGTTGAAGTATTGCTTTCATGTCCCATTTCTTTGCAGGCCTCCTTCAAAGGTCTAGTGCTCTGACTGGTGACCTTTTGCACCTGCCCCAACATTTTACAGTATTTCGCTTTTGTGCATTGTGTAGAGGTCTCAGCCTCTGGGTTTCGTGCATTGTTATTACTTATAAGAGTCTTGGTTATTATTCCAAGTGTAGCAGTTTGGCGTGGTCACTGTGTGAACCATTTTGGGCCACATCCCCTTCCCGCTACAGACTTGAGTGCCCAGAGCACAACACTGTCTGGACAGGGTTCATTTCATTTCCCAGCTGCACAACCTGCCAACACAACCTTGTCATTGCAATTTGTCACACATATTTTGTATGTGTTCTGTATTTCACTGAAGTCACATTTCCCAGGAAATTTATATACAGGCTTCTTGTCTGGTACATAGATCAACTTCATATGTTTCCGTAGCCAACATTGTGTTTTCCCCTACAGATGTGCCACATGTCAGCTGAGGTTGGCGGCCTGTCTTTACTCTAGAAGTGGCTACATTTCAGAGGAGCAGTCTGTCCCTACACTGAGGTGTGCTTTGAGTTCTACATGTAAAATAGAGATGGGCTTATAGATGTAACGAGAGCTGGTCAAAATATTTCAGCCAAAGGTTGGTTTTAACGGAAGATAGCTATTTACTGAAAAAAAATGCACAGGAAATGGCCATTTTTAATTAATTGGGGGTGGTCATGAAAAAATTATTTTTATGCTAAAAAAAAGCCATGCTCGATTGGGACATTGGGGAACCCACAAATTTGATTGTACTGAAATTTTCTGCCTGACTGGCTGAAACTTGGTTTCATAAAACTGAATTCATGGAGGAGTTTTGATTCAAACATTTTCTGGGGTTGGATGGAAAGGGAAAGAACCCTCCTGTCCCCCATTTCCTAACTTGCCTTATACCCAACCAGTGTTCCCTGTAAGCTGAGCTCACGGGCGGCCACCCAGGAGACATTCATTGATTACCAGAGCGCCCACAGCAACCACAACCATCAGCATGTGTTTCTATTGGTGGTGCGTATCAGCATAGGTTTTGGTGCACCAAACAAAATTTATTCTGCACATGGAAGGAAAGATTTAGAGGGAACATTGGACCCAGCCCCTTTAAAAGTTTGCATGCAATCCTGGGCCAGTCTAGAATCCCTGATCTGAACAACTTTTGAACTCTATAAGTTTGCTTCTTTCACTTTACATGTTGACACTCTGTTCAGCCCATTAGTATCTGGCTGGCTGACTCCAGCTATCAGTTTTTGGTTTAGGTTCAGCTCTCATAGAATCCTGACATAGGGAAATATTTACTAAGAAAATTGAGAGTTTACTGTGAAAATTTACCCTGGTTTAGAGTCCCACAGGTTCAGTAGATTCCAGATCATCAGCCAAGATAGTCAGGAATCATGGTTTTCACCTGCTGTGTTCAATTGTAGTGGGGTGGGTGCTGCCCCACTTATGCCTCTTTGTATTGAGGGCCAGTTTGAGAGAGGGAAATGATTGCACCATTGACACGGGCCATAGCACTGTCTCCTTTTACTAGTCCATGGGAGTAAAAGGGTCAAGTTATTTAAGAAGTAACGGGCTAAGAATTAGTGAGCATTCAGGCATTGAATGGGGTGACATGTCTCATTTCAGCCAGGTCTGCTTTCCAGCAAGGCCAGAGAGCAGGTAAGGAATCTGTCACTAGATCACATTCTCATTGAAACTAGTGACAAAACATGTCCATTGGCTGTAAGGCATCGTTCTCAACATCCTGGAGTACGCAGTCAGCATAGAGACAGTAGCAGGCCCTCTCTCATACAAGGAGTGGGGGTCAAAGGGAAGTCAGCAAAGGAGAGTGAGAGAAGAAGGAAGGGGAAAGAAAGTACAGAAGAGGAAACAGGGGCGGGCAAAGGGAATAGTAACTGGAAAGGGTAGGAGGGAGACTGGGGCTGGAAAGGAAATGAGGCAGATGACGCACTGCGAAGGAGAGGGGGGAGCAGCAAGAAAAGGAGAAATCAGGGGCCAAACCCAACACAAAGAACAAACGTTAGAATTAGAGAACAACCCCTGTGAACATGCAGAGCAGAGGCCGAGTTGGCCATGGGCTAGGACGACTAAGCAAGGCTGAGTGTGTGTATTAAGGGTAGGGGGTGATGGGCGGGGTAGATCTGTCCTAATTGGAGGGGCTTAAACCCCCAAATCATTGGGAATCACATCCTGTGTGAGCTGACACTGAGTCTGCAGAGTGTTGTAGCATCTAGTGGGAGGGAGGAGAAAGGAGGAAGTGCTACTGAGTGAGCTGAGATATGAAAGTACCTCTGAGGTTTAGAGCCAGTTTGAGACAGGGGACAGTGGCAGGATACAAAAGACAGAGGAGGGGGAGGGGAAGAAGGCTCATGCTTCAAGGTCACAGAGAAAAGGGCCAGAGCATTTAGAGTTTGTTTTCTTTGCAGCACAAAGCAGAAGTCAGCTTGCAGTTCTCCTCAGGGGAAACAAGAGGACAGTCTTACCGAGCATGGAACTTGGTTCTGGCTTATGTTCTAATGCAAACAGTCCTCACCTAATACTTGAGTTCATTTGTTTTGTGTCAGGTAAATAGAGAATCTCCAGTTATCTGGTGCTTCCAATGGAGAACATAGTTCATGGAATAACAAGGCATAAGTCAATATTGTGGTGATGTGAGCAAGAGCGCAGTGTGGCTGTAGATTAGTTTTACTTTGTGGTAGTAAGTCTGCTGCTCCTGAAAGTAAACAGGAAAGTGATTAAGGGCCAAATTTTGCTGTTGTAATTTGGTCAGTTCTCCTCCCCTGCCCTCTCCCCGGCCAATTGGTCCCTAAGTAATACCCCAGTTTTGTGTTGGATTTCCCATCCTATTTTCTCAATTTTGACAACCACACAGAATCTGGCCAAATTCCAGAAACTATTTTTAAAAATAATCTCTCTCAATAGATACTGTTTGATGCCACAGGAGGCGGCGGGGGGAGGGGAGAAGCAATTCAAACTGAACAACTTTCACCGCTTTGCTGGATGTTTGTTCTTACAACAGAACAAATCCATAACAAGTAACTCAAATGCTTGACTCTGTAAGGAGCCAGAACCCCTGGGGAATAAAATTACTCGTGAACAGGGTTCCCTCTAATTTTACTCACCCATGTGTGGAATGCATTTTTTTTATGTGCACCAATATGGAAGTGATGTGTGATGCATTGTGTCCGTATTTGTGCACCAAACAAAATTTATGTGGCAGGGATGAAGCTAAGAGGTTCAGAGTGTGGGAAGGGGCAGAGGGCTAAGGTACAGGCGGGTGATGGCCAGTGTTCCCTGTAAGCTAGGAGTTTGTGCGGCCACTTAGGAGAAATTCAGATGCCGCCCAGCTGACTACCAGAGCGCCCGCAACTAGGTTTTGTGTTTCTACTGGTGGTGCACATTCGCACATGCCTCGGTGCACATAAAAATGTATTCTGCACATGGATGGAAAAGATTAGAAGGGAATGTTAGTGAGGGCTCCAGCTGGGGGTGCTGCCTCTGGGATAGGGTCAAGGATGAGAGGTTTGTGGGGTCAGGCTGCGTTGGAGCTGTGATGTGGGGAGAGGGCTCCCCTCAGCTTTCTTTTCCCCCACACAACACTTGGGTTGTGCATAGAGACACCTCTCCCTAGGCCACAGCAGGTCCAAGCCAGGCCTGGCTGGGGCCGGGGGAAGGGTGCCTCTCTCCTGGCTGTGGCACGTCTGGGCCAGGCTAGGTTGGGGTCATGGGACGGGAACACCTCTCCCCTGGCTGCAGCTGGGCTGGGTTCGGGCCAGAGCTTCTCTCTCCACCACAGCAGGTCCAGGGCTGGAGGAGAGGAATCTCTCCTCACTGCAGCCCTGAGTGTCTGCACAGTGCTTAACAGGTTGCCACGCGGCTTAGAGGGAACTTAGCTCATGGATATTGTATCATTAAAGAGGGGAACAAGCTGTGTGTGTGAGGCCTGCAGCGTCCTACGTCTGTGCGCCCTGGATTCCCTTCTCACACTTCACCCCCCAAACCTGACAACAAGCAAGGAAAACGACACCAAAAAGCCCAGTGGCCTGGAAGGAAGCCAGAAATGTGGTAGCTCCAAGAGGTCGCTCTCTGGGATCAGGCCTCCTTTGTTCTAGATGCTGAACAAACAAGAAGAGAAAGGCAGTCCAAGCTCCAAAGGGCTTATGGTCGCAGAAGATGAGACCACAAATGAAGGCGACAAACAGCCAGCGGAGCGCAAGGAAACAGACGCTGCTGGTCAGCATGATAAGCGGCTGTCCCAGTGCACCAGCTTCCTGCTCATTGTGGGCACGGGAGGAGCGGGGAGGAGGTCTGTGCTACGGGCTGTCTGAACTGCCCCAGGAGTGTCCTAAACATACTGGCGTAGGGCTTGACCTTACACCAGTGAAGCTACAGGGAGTCAGCGCTAGCAGCACAGGGGGCAAGATGAGACCTCTCCCGGGTTTATGGCTTGGGGTGGGCCTGCAGCAGAGAGGATGGCTGCATGTTTCCGTGTGAAGCTCCTCACTTCCTTGATAGGAAAAAGAAAGATTCCTACATGGGATGAGTTCTTAGCACAGCCCTGTTAAGAACCAGCTAGCTTCCTATTTGAAGCCAAGCTGTACATCCAGAGAAGGCACCCGGCTCCTATGACAAGGTTACTAATCCCTTCCCGTAGCCTCATCTCAGGGGAGATCACCCCTCTACCATGAGCCTGCCCCCAGCCTATTCCCCACTTGTGCACCATGGGCCCTGTGTGTCCTCACCTGGTGTAAATTACCAGGGCTCCACTCTCTTCAGCAGGGCTGTGGGGAGTTGCAGCAGCAGCCGCACAAAGGAGCTGCAGCATGCCAGCTCCACAGAGCTGGGGGTAGCAGCTGGCCTGTCTTCTTGCCAAATCATTCATGAAAGATCCACAAGAATTCTGGAAGGGAGAGTTTTTTTTTTTAATCCTGGTACTATCCCTTTAAGCAACACAGAAATGCTGTTAAAACAACAGGCGAAACGTGTAAAAAACCTCACGTGCTTCCCCCTAGAGACTCCAACCCAGACAAATCAAATCTCTTCAAAAACTCAAGCCTGTGTCTCTGGCAGAGCTGAAATGAGGACAGGCCTGCAGAATGACTGCGCATTAAAGTCTGGAAACTGAGGGCCACATTCAGCCTTACTTTTAAAAGAGAGTTGGGCAGAACCAAGAGATGATCTAATACACTAGTTTTACTCTTCTCATTGTGAAGTTGCTCTAATTTATCATGATCATTATTTATAAAGTCTGTGACAATTTGACTTTTGTCTTTTGTGACTTTTGCTTTGTCAATTCATTCTCATAAAATTTCTCCAAAACCTGGAGCTTTAAAACTTTGGAGAGGGGAGCAGCAGGAGGGTGTTTTGCTACTGCAACTGACAAGTTGTAGTTAATATCCAATCCTGTCAGAAATACAATACAAGGAGCATGTGTATTTAAATATTCTACTCCACCAGCAAAGCAAAATTCCACGAGAGTATGGTGTTTAATAAGGCACTGTTGATAAGACAGAAACATCTGCAATACAAATCAATGTGTACGTTAGGCCTTTGCCAAGGTCTATATTACGCTGATGTAGGAAAGTAGTTACATATTTTCACTTAATATTTCTTGTAGCACATTCCTTACCCAGCCCAAGGGTTCTTGCCGTAGACCATGCTGTACAGTGGGTACATGTATGTTTCATGGCCATTCCCCCAGAGAAAGCATGGTGGTGAGAGGTGCTTTAGATATAGACAAACAATGGCTTAGTTTGCTGCACCCTTTGCAGGGAAGAAGTAGGCTGCTGGCTTTGTACCTGGAAGACCCATTATTAGTTCACCTGGGACAAATGTTCCCTCTAATTGTTTCCATCCATGTGCAGAATAAATTGTATGTGCACCAAGGCATGTGTTGATGTGCACCACTAGTAGAAACTCATGCTGGGGGCTGGGGGTTCTGCTAATCAGCTGGGTGGCATTTGAATCTCTCCTGCTTGGCTGCCCGAGCAGTCAGCTTAGAGCAGGCATGTCCAAAGTCTGGCCCGCGGGCCAATTGCGGCCCGTGTTCTGGTTTAATACGGCCCCACAGGTAATTTGGCAACATCTATCTTTTAAGGCCCCCAACGAATCCATATGTATTGAGATGAATACATTGTAAAATCTCAGTTAATGTCAGTTGGTCTAAATCAGTTATAAATATATTTGGACACAACATGTATACTTGGTGTTATGTTCCTGTTCATATTTTTTGAACTTAAAAGTTGACAGACAACCTTTATTACCAATAATATGTAATGTACTTTACAATGTTCCTGACATATATTTCAGCTTCCTGGATTTTTTTTTCATCTGGCCTTCAGATATGAAAGGCAGAGTGATTTAACACCTGTTTAGATTTGTCATCCATGTGACGAAATGAAAAGTATGCCGTTTGCAATAAACTTTGCATAAAATAGTTAATTTGCATTTAATTTTAATGGTTCAAAGAATGTCAGGCAAAATGGTCGGCCCTCACGCATGTTCACTTCATCAAATCTGGCCCTCTTTGAAAAAAGTTTGGACACCCCTGGTATATAGCATTCCTTTGTATCAGGGAAGATCTAGAATTCAGAATGACCTTAGAAAAATCAATTAGCTGAATGTGATGAGATAAAGAATTCTCACTTTCCTCTGTTTATAGCATGTTCCTCCTCTAGATAGTCTTGAATGGAAAAACAATGTGGAACAACTTGGTATTCATGGGCTGTGGAGCTCTGCCCTCTGAGATGTTCTCTGTGGAGCAGCTGCACAAGAGGAGAGCCAAGTGAAGCTGGAGGGCGGGGAACCACTCAGTTTCTGCCAAAGAGGCCCATGGACTTCTGGGTTGGCCAAGCTGCCCCCCTCTTTGACCCTGCTGTGGGGAGCAGGGAATCCCATCAGGCATTGATCACCTAAGGACTAAGACACCCATAAAAGCTTACCTTGAGACCTATCTTCCCTTTTTTTCCATCCACATGCAGAATAAATTTTGTTCCATGCACCAAGGCTTGTGTGGATGTGCACCACCAATATAAACACATGGTATTTGAATCTCTCCTGGGCGGCTTCCCAAGTGCTGAGCTTAGAGGGAACACTGCTTGAGACTAGCAAAAACAAGTATGAAAACACAACTACCCACTCTGTTAATTTCAAGAGACATTTTGTGGCTCCATTCTCTAGTCAGTTCGATCTTAGCCCTTCCCCCAAAAGCCAGCAGTCTGTTTGCTGAGAGGTCCATTTCTGTGCCTTATGTTAGCACGTGAAGGGATTGGACCTTTACTGTGGTAGCCTTGAAGGGCTGGAGTTTTACTTCTCCCTAACATGTTTCAGGCCAACCAGTCCTGTTTTTAAGCCATGTTTGGTAGGTATGTTTGATTGACTGTCAGTGACAGCCCCTTGCTTTGATTTCCCACTGTCCTTCAACTACCATGTCTATGTCTTGGTTTGCTGCTCTTAGGTTAGTGGCTGCGATTTAATTTTGATTGGCTCTTTCATTGCACTCTATAAGCTCTCAGTATTGCATGGTGCTCCAAACATCTTGTGGCAGAGGAGTGCTTTAGAAATAGGCTTTCAGAGCCACCCATCTGGGCGGCGGTGTTTCCTGGAAGCTGTGCGCGTGTGCAGCTGCTCAGGAGAGATTCAAATGCCACCTAGCGGATTAGCAGAGCTCCCACAGCTAGGTTTTGTTTCTACTGGTGGTACACATCTGCACATTCCCCAGGGCACATAAAATTATTCTGCACATTGATGGAAAAGATGAGAGGGAACATTGCTAGGAATAAGATGCCCAAATTCAATATGAGGAAGCTTTGTAAATCTCTGGCAAACTATATTCCCTTGACGTAATCCCTGCAAAGCCATTTGTTCATCCAGTTGAGTAAAACAGTGGCCATAGTAGAAATACAACTGGGCAGGCCTGATGACACAGCGGGGAGGGAAGGAAGCAGTTGCCCCAAGTCTTGACAATTCAAAGGCTGCTGCTGCTACTGGAGCCCTGGGTGGAGCCCTGGGCCTTGAAATCGCCACTGGAGCACCACGCCGCATGCTCTGCAGGGCTCTGAAGCCTGAAGGGGGCCAGACCTCTTCTGCCCGAGGTACCATCCCTTCCCCTCTCCGACACCTTGCCTGGGGGCCTGTGGAAGCTGTCGGCTCCCCTGCAACTGGTATAAAGGTGAAGTTTTCAGTGCAGCCTCAGGGAGATGGGGTAGACCTTAAAGTGCCTATGTTCCAGTGAAACAAAAAACAGGACTATGTAGCACTATCACTATTCTATGTTCCAGGGGGTTCTGATGAGACTTAGCAGCCTGGATCACTGCCACCTTTGTAAATTTGACTCCAAGTGCTCAGGGATATTTTTTCAACTGGGATTTGGGTGCTTCCCTCCTTCATGCACCTTGGAAAATCCTAAACCCTACTTTTTCATTTGCAACCTACATTTTCCCTGGAAGAAACACAACAAACGTGGGTGGTGGGTGAAGGTAGGGTAGGGGGAGGTAAGCCCTCCCAACCCTTCTGCCCAGCCCCACCCCCCTACACCAAGGAGTGTGGGGCAGTGCATGGTCCCAGCCCCCAACAGCACTATGGGGAGGGTGGGAGGCACATGGCTTTAACACCCCTGGCCCCAGGGCACAGGGAAGGCAGGCACTCTGGGGTAGGAACATTCCGCCTCAGTACACCTACAGTAGGTGTTGGTGGGGGGAGTGTGGCCAGGGCCATGCCTGATGGTTTGGGAAGGCAATGCCTCCCCCTGCCTAGGATACCTGCCGCACCTGACAACAAACCAGTTTGCTGCCCTGCTCAAGCAAGTCCGTGGTCTCCAACGACTGGAGGCCAGAAACCCGACTGTGGCGAGGGAGGCTGGAATGAGTGGCAGGTGTGTTCTGTCTGCTGCCTGGAGAGGTCAGACTTTCTAGCCTTTGTTTTTCTACCTCAGCTTTAGGAAATACACCCTTAGGCTATGTCTACACTCGTGGCTTCTTGCGCGAGAAATATGCAAATGACGCTAAGCGTGGAATATTGCTGAGCCTCATTTGCATGCCTAATGAGCCGCCATTTTTGCAGAAAAGGCTCTTGTGCCAGAAGGAGCTGTCTACGCTGCCCTTTCTTGCGCAAGAAAACCACTCTTGCGCAATGCCGCTACGCCGATTATTTTTAGGAATAACGGCATTGCGCAACAGTGTTTTTCTTGCACAAGAAGGGGCAGTGTAGACAGCTCCTTCTGGAGCAAGAGCCTCTTCTGCAAAAATGGTGGCTCATTAAGTATGCAAATGAGGCTCGGCGATATTCCAGGCTTAGCCTCATTTGCATATTTCTTTCGCAGGAAGCCGCGAGTGTACACATAGCCGTACAGCCAGTGGCAGCCTGTAGTCATTTGCTCTTCGGAGGATGAAAGTGGAGACCAGCGCTGTTTTTAGCTTAGATGGCAGCCCACTCACCTATTTTCTGGGCTTTGTTTTTACATCTTTGTGGTCCCTTTCTTGCAAGGAGACGTTCCGCATCGGCGCAGGTGGCTGGCAGAGACTCAAATAAGCCTTAAAGTGAAGATGCTGTAGCTACTTTATGCAGACATGTGAGCCCAGTTGTTTTCTTCTGACCTTAAAATAATCCTAGGAAATCACAAAACTGAAAGAACAAGCTCTCTATGAGCTGGTGAACACCTCCTGAAAATTTTAACAGGCAATCAGGCATTGGTTTCAGGGATTAACTTTAACTAGGATGAAAGTTGCTCCTTAAATTGCCTCTTTAATGAACATTTACCTTTTCCCCCCAAAGGATTTAATTGACTGTATAGCAAAGCATTGCCCCCCTCAAGTAGAGCAGCCCCATTTATGCCCCTACCCTTGAACACTGTATCAGAATTTCCGTTGGAAAGCCTTTGTGGAGAGCTGGGGAGGGTGATGACTGTCAAAAATAATTTTCTGCTGATTAAAGCTGTGGCCTGCATGGGCTCAGTCCAGGCATATTTACTTTGCAAAAGTTCAAGTTCCATGCATTGGAAGGAGATATGGGTATATGCAGATACCTGGAAGGCCCCTTTGTAATCCTTAGATAGCTTTACGACACTTTGAGAATAACGATTGGCCAGGGAATATGGCATTAATCTAGGAATTGGGGCACCTGCTTTTATTGTTGTGCCCTGCCACAGTCTTCCTGTATGATCCTGGGCAAGTCACTTAGCACCTGTGCCGCACTTCCCTATCTGCATCATGGGCTAAGAGCGCTGCAAGATGGTCACATAGTATGTTGATGGGGGCCTGTGACAGGGGGGGTATACCATCCACTGGGTCAGGAGGGCTTAGTGCCCTTAAGGTGGAGGAAATCCCACCCCTCCAGTCACTTTGGGCATGCTCCAAGGACTGAAGCAGTATAAAATGGAGCAGCTCAACGCAGTCTGGCCTGGATGCTGGAGAGGAAGGACCTTAGAGGATCTCCAGAGGTGGACCAGCCGGAAACCCAGATGATGGGAGCCAGAGACCCAGGAGACTGTATTGAGCCTCCCGGCCCAGCAGAACTGCAGGAGGAGACTGATGCTGAGGAGCCTGACAAACCTAAAACTTTAGGGATCACCCTAATGTCAGAACTGGTAGGAAGTGACCCAGGGAGGGTGGGCGAGTTGTATCTCCCACCCGAATGAGCTCAGTTTATTGCAGTGGGATTCCCCACTGAGCAAGTGAGGTGGTGGAGCACTCCCCCACTGATAGGGCCCTGGGTCGGGGTCTGGTGGAGTAGCGTGGGCCTAGCCCCCTCCTACTGTGGCTGCTGCCCCAAATCCCCTGTAATTCTAACCATCAGGCTGTGCTGCCCCAAACCCTAGGTCTGTGTTATAGACTGTGGCCATTGGGCCACACCGCCTCGGGACGAGGCATGCTTGCGACACGACAGGGCCATGCATGTACCTTAGATTTGACTTTGAATTAGTCCTTGCTAGGGATCTTTGAGTTTAACCGATTAACCAATAAGCTGACACTTAGTCGTTAATATTATCAGTTAAACTCTGCCCCGCTCCCGGGCGGATGTCGCTGTGCACTCTGCAATCTGAAGCTTTACACAGTGCGTGTAACCGCTAGGTTTTTGAGCGGTTGCACAGTTAC